CGCCGCGTCCTCGGTGGGGCGGGCCGGGCTGGACCGCGGGGCCGCCGGGGGCTGGGAGGGAAGGAGGAGGGTCACACCCCGGCAAGGGCGGGAGGGAAAATCCCAAAGGGCAGAGCGTTAGGCAGAGGAACAGAGTGGCCGCCCCCTCTCGCCGCCTGCAGGTCCCGGGCGCGCTGGGCTCGCGGGTCCCTCCTGCCTTACGGAGCAGTAATGATGATGTATGTCACAGTCAAGGTTACCATCGGATAGTACCGGCTGCAAATGTTTTCGTGCGTCTCAGCTCGTGTGGCTGCTGCTGAGACGTTAGCAGCAATGCGAGGGAGGGTAAGACAAAGCTCTGGCAATGAAGTTTTGTGAGAAAGCGTTGCATTTCAATGCATTTCTCTCCGTTGCAAATTGGTTTTCTGGTTGCATATGGCATTTTCCTAGAAATCCTGATACTCATACTTCAGCATCTGAAAGGAACATGCCAGAAAACTGCATATAAATCTAATTGGTAGCTCTTGATATGGAGAAAAAATTGCTGGTGTATCTCAATAGTAAAATTACAATCTCACCTATAAATGAACACTCCTCTGTTTCAATCTTCTGCTTTAAGCACAAGTAAGGAACCCCTACGGGTGTCTGCCTGATGATCTGCACCGAGAAATTAATCATGCCCTGAAATTGCAGCTAAGCAGTGTGCAGGGAATTCCTAACCTATAGCTCCTTATTTCAAATGAGAATTTTATACTAAGCTTGAAATACTTGTGTTTAATGGTCTTATTCCTGAGTTCAAGCACGGACAGATAAGAATAGAAAGCTGAAAAGTGTAGTGCATTGAAAGTATCAGAAATCAGAGCAGGAGCCAGTCTGTGGCTGTAAGGCAGCACCTATTCTGCAAGACAATGAAAAGGACCACAGAAATTCCTCCAGAAGACATCAACACTCAGTCTTGCATGGGTCTGGTACACTGGGGAGCTGCTACTATTTCTCTTTAGATCAGACTACTCATTGATTATGACTCTGTTGTATAAACAAGGAATGAAAGCAGAGCCGAAAGATTTGTTCCTTGTTTTATATGACTTACAACATCAGGCCTGGTGGTGAGGGAATGATGGCACGTCATCACTTCTGCCTGATACTTTCAAGAAAGATGAGCATAAGAACTAAAGGGAACTGAAAAGCCCTTAAATCCAATGTGCATCCACAGAAAAACATGAAATCTTGCCTCTCTTTTAATACAAGGAATGAATCCCACACATACAGAAACCCCTTTCTCCTTAGACAGCTAACTAGCAAAAGTACAAATCAGTACAGCATGAATGGAAAGCGGGAATAATAAAATAAGAATATTTATTTCTAATAAAATATCTAATTATATGACCTTTACAGTGTTTATTAGAAAACAGTTCCATGCATTACTTCTAATTAAATACTGTCCTTAATGGCATAAACCTGCAGCCTTCATGGAGTTATGTAGCTGGCCGAATTATTTCTGTGTCTTTCCTTTTTTTGTGTGAGTGGCAAGGCTGAAACTACAGATTTTGAAACTATTAATGTGGGGAAATGCAGTTCATTCAGTTATGGAGTGACTTCAGAAAGTGTAGCTTCTAAAGTAAAGAAGCAGATAAGGTATTTGCAGTCCTCTTTCTTGAGCTCAAAGAGTTAGTTGTAGTTGGAAAAGTATAGCGTGTAATCCAGCTCATGCCATTTTTCATCACTTTGCCAAGACTGTTAAGAATACAAACATTTCTACCAGGGACATGTTGAACTTGATGGTGTGGGAGTTCTACAAGAAATGAAACCACTCATTTCTTTGGAGCCTTCCCTAAGCTAGCACTCACCTTGAACTCATTTAAGCCAACACCTTCAAGGGGAAAAGCTTTTTGTCTCATCTACTAAACCAAGTTATCAACAGAAAGGTATTTTGATCAGCAGCTCCCAAGGGTTTCCCATACATTATTGACATTAATGCTTAATAAAATGGGACGCTTCCTTCCAAAAGAAAATACTTACGTACCTGTTCCTGAAATTATTTCACAAATATTTGCACGTATTATCTGGATGTTACATATATGAATACAGAGAAAGAAGAA